TTTATATTTATATATATGGTATAGATACAGGGGTTGGACAATGAAACCGAAACACCCGGTTTTAGACCACAGTAATTTATTAGTATGGCTTAGGGCCTCTTTTTGTGGCCAATACAGCATCAGCTTCTCTTAGGAATGACAGATACAAGCCCTGCACATGGCCAGAGGGATTGTGAGTCATTCCTCTTGCAGATCAGTGGCCAGGTCACTATGTGATGCTGGTGGAGGAAATAATTTCCTGACTCGTTCCTCCAAAACACCCCAAAGTGGCTCAGTAATATACTGCTCAAAAAATGAAAGCAACACTTTTAAAGCAGAGTATAGCATCAAGTGAACTAAACTTCTGGGATATTTTTCTGGTCAGTTAAGAGGCAACAATGAGATGACCCCCAAAACAGGAGTGATTTAACAGGTGGAGGCCACTGACATTTTTCCATCCTCATCTTTTCTGACTATTTTTTCACTAGTTTTGCATTTGGCTACAGTCTGAGTCTGTACTGGTAGCATGAGGCCAACTCTTCCAGGATGGTGCATCAATACGTACCATTGCCAGAAGGTTTGCTGTGTCTCCCAGCAAAGTCTCACGGGCATGGATGAGATTCCAGAAGACAAGCAGTTAATCTAGGAGAGCTGGACAGGGCCATAGAAGGTCCTTAACTCATCAGAGGGACTAGAATCTGCCCCTTTGTGCAAGAAGGAACAGGATGAGCACTGCCAGAGCCCTACAGAATGACCTCCAGCAGGACAATGGTGTGAATGTCTCTGACCAAACAATCAGAAACAGACTTCATGAGGGTGGCCTGAGGGCCCGACGTTCTCTAGTGGGCCCTGTGTTCACTGCCTGGCACCGTGGAGCTCGATTGGCATTTGCCGTAGAATACCAGAATTGGCAGGTCCGTCACTGGCACCCCGTGCTTTTCATAGATGAGAGCAGGTTCACACTGAGAACATGTGACAGACGTGAAAGGGTCTGGAGAGGCTGTGGAGATCATTATGCTGCCTGTAACATTGTTCAGCATGACCAGTTTGGTCGTGGGTCAGTGATGGTCTGGGCATATCCATGAAGGGTTCAGACCCCTACAGGCTAGACAACTGCACCTTGACTGCCATTAGGTATTGGGATGAAGTCCTTGGACCCATTATCAGACACTACGCTGGTGCAGTGGGTCCTGGGCTCCTCCTGGTGCACGACAATGCCCGGCCTCATGTGGCGAGAGTATGCAGGCAGTTCCTGGAGGATGAAGGAATGGATACCGTTGACTGGCCCCCATGCTCGCCTGACCTAAATCCAATGTAACACCTCTGGGACATTATGTTTCGGCCCACCCGACGCCACCAGGTTGCACCTGAGACTGTCCAGGAGCTCAGTGATGCCCTGGTCCAGATCTGGGAGGAGATCCCCCAGGACACCATCCGTCGTCTCATTAGGAGCATACCCTGACGTTGTCAGACATGCATGTGGGGGCCATACAAACTACTGAGTGTGATTTTGAGTTGCTGAAATGAAATTTTGGCAAAATGTACTAGCCTGCTAGATCATTTTTTAACTTTGTTTTTCAGGGTGTCTTTGAATTCAGCCCTCTGTAGGTCGATACTTTACATTTCCATCAAACCAAGAGGCATCATTTCGTTCCTAACACATTGCCCAGTGCATATTAGTATAGATATTCAGCACACATTTTTTCCTATTGAGATCTGATGTGTTTTCAAAGCGATCTAGCGATTTAGATCTGGTGACTATGCAGGCCTTGGGAGATGTTCAACTTCACTTTCATGTTCATCAAACCACTCTGTCATCAGTCTTGCTGTGTGTATTAGTGCATTATCATCCTGATACACAGCACCANTATTTGCCTTTAGTTCAAAATCCATTTCCATTGCCTAATTTCTCCTTTTTTATATTTATATATATGGTATAGATACAGGGGTTGGACAATGAAACTGAAACACCTGATTTTAGACCACAGTAATTTATTAGTATGGCGTAGGGCCTCTTTTTGTGGCCAATACAGCATCAGCTTCTCTTGGAAATGACAAATACAAGCCCTGCACATGGCCAGAGGGATTGTGAGTCATTCCTCTTGCAGATCAGTGATCAGGTCACTATGTGATGCTGGTGGAGGAAAAACGTTTCCTGACTCGCTCCTCCAAACCACCCCAAAGTGGCTCAGTAATATACTGCTCAAAAAATGAAAGCAACACTTTTAAAGCAGAGTATAGGGTCAGTGATGGTCTGGGCATATCCATGAATGGTTCAGACCCCTACAGGCTAGACAACAGCACCTTGACTGCTATTACTGTAGGTATTGGGATGAAGTCCTTGGGCACCTTATCAGACCCTATGCTGGTGCAGTGGGTCCTGGGCTCCTCCTGGTGCATGACAATGCCCGGCCTCATGTGGCGAGATTATGCAGGCAGTTCCTGGAGGATGAAGGAATGGATACCACTGACTGGCCCCCCATGCTCACCTGCCTAAATCCAATGTAACACCTCTGGGACATTATGTTTCGGCCCACCCGACCCCACCAGGTTGCACCTCAGACTGTCCAGGAGCTCAGTGATGCCCTGGTCCAGATCTGGAAGGAGATCTCCCAGGACACCATCCGTCGTCTCATTAGGAGCATACCCCGACGTTTTCAGGCATGCATACAAGCACGTGGGGGCCATACAAACTACTGAGTGTGATTTTGAGTTGCTGAAATGAAATTTTGGCAAAATGTACTAGCCTGCTGGATCATTTTTAAACTTTGTTTTTCAGGGTCTTTGAATTCAGCCCTCTGTACTGTAGGTCGATACTTTTCATTTCCATCAAACCAAGAGGCATCATTTCGTTCCTAACACATTGCCCAGTGCATATTAGTATAGATATTCAGCACAAATTTTTTCCTATTGAGATCTGAAGTGTTTTCAAAGCGATCTAGCGATTTAGATCTGGTGACTATGCAGGCCTTCGGAGATGTTCAACTTCACTTTCATGTTCATCAAACCACTCTGTCATCAGTCTTGCTGTGTGTATTAGTGCATTATCATCCTGATACACAGCACCAACTTCAGGATACAATGTTTGAATCAACGGGTGATCTTGGTCCTCCAGAGTAGTTCAGTAGTCCTTGGCAGTGATGCATCCATCTAAATCAAGTAGTGGGCCTAGGGAATGCCATGATACTACAGCCCAAACTATCACTGATCCACCCCAGTGTTGCACTCTGGGTATATGACAGTCCGGGTGGTAAACCTCTTTGGGCTTCTCCACACTGTAACTCTCCCAGACAGTGAAGGTGGTCTCTTTAGAGAAGAGAATGTCTCATATTGTCCACAGCCCGAGATTTGTGCTGCTGGCATCATTGAAACCAACACGTGGCATTGGTATGAATGACCAAAGGTTTGGCTATAGCAGCCTGACCATGAATACTGACCCTGTGGAGCTCCCAACTAACAGTTCTGTTGGAAACAGGACATAAGGTGCACATTTAATTCTGCAGTGCATTGGGCAGTTATAGTTGTATGTTTTTTGGATACAATCTGGGTTAGCACCTGGACATTCCTTTCAGGCAGGTTTGTCTTGCATCCACAGTTACTCCTGTTGGATGTGGTCCGTCCTTCATGGTGATGTGCTGACCCTGGATACCGTGGCTCTCGATACACCACAAACACTTGCTGTCCTGGTCACAGATGTGCCAGTGAGATGAGCACCAACAATTTGTCCTCTTTTGAACTCTGATATGTCTCCCATTCTGTTGTGTGGACTGCAGTAATGTACAGTATGTACAGCTGTGCTACTGCTCTGCTAATTCAGCATTAACACTCTGCTCTTACTGATGCAATGTGCAAACAGTGAGGACCGGCCACCAGTCTGGGTATATACTGTATAGGCATGAAACCTGTAACATCATTTTGGCCAGGGTTTCAGTTTCATTATCCTACCCTTGTATTTTATAGTTACGCATCATGTCATATATGCATATATTTAGCTCAAGTGTTTTGTTTTTTTAACATTTTTAGAGAATTCAGCCTGTTTTTTTTATGCGATTAACCATTGTCCTTTATTCTTATAACCATATCATCACATCAGTGTGAAAATGACAGTTGTGAGCTGTTCTATGCCAGCATTGACCACAGCGGATGGACTGAACAGGGAACAGGAACAATCCGAGGGAGTTCACAGAAAACTGAGTATGCAGAGGTCAAGCTTAGTACTCAGAAAGAGCTGGAAGGTACAAATATGAGGTCTGAGGTCCAGGAGGAACAGGAGCAGGATGTTGAAGTCTTGGGGGTCAGTCCTGAACCCAGTTTTAAGAGGAAGCAAATCCAGAAACAAGGGAGTGGAGATGTATCTGGATGTGGCTTCAGAGCCCAAGAATCTACAGAGAGCCAGAAGAGAAAAATTGAAATCGTGGTGGAACAAGAGACCATGGAGGACAGGAAGAGCTCAGGGCCGGATGATCAGATGAACACACCTGAACCAAAGGAGGAAGCAACATATGGGAACATCTGCCATCAGCTGTCCACCAAAGGTCCAGACAAGAGGTCTGCTACAGTGGAAGCTTCTGGGAATAAGTGGCAAAGTGGTGCTAATGAGGATCAACAAGACCATCATGCTGCCATGTTTAACCCGCTGATCTCAGAAGAAAATGGCACAAATGAGAGTGAGTATGCAGTGGTGAGGAAGTTCTAAAGTGCTCAGTAGGAAAGCTACCTCAACAGCATGAAGTGTTAGTGTGATAAGCCTAATGTATGTCTCCTGAAAAATAATAGGAGGAGCTATTTCATCAGTAATATGTATGCTGGGTATTGTAGTCAAAATACGTGTAGGCAGGATGCAGAATGTGAGTGTTTCAGCTTCAGATGCCGTCTGATCTGTAGTTGTGTTTGAGTGTTTTCTGCTGATTTAGGAAAGTAGGGGCTGTATTGAGGATTTTGGGGGGAACTGATTTTATTACAAGAGCTCATTTAAGTAAAGGGGACACAGAAGGGGGTCGAGAGAGAGGTGTATGAAGGACGTGGGGGAAGCTTCCCAGCTACAGGCAGTGTTAACAAAGCCGGACTTGGGCTTCTTTAAGGTCAGCGACAGTCCTTCTGCAGGAGCTCAGCAGCTGTGAGTAGGACTATGGGCTGCCAGCAGAGGATCTGTCTTTGTTTTTTTTTTCACATTAAGCGCACCAATGAAAATCTTCCCCGGAAAAGCACAAACAAATTCAAATCATATTCAAATTTCATTTGTCAGATACCAATCAAACACAATATGAGTTGCAGTGAAATATTTGTTTTACAAAAGGTACTTAGGAGGAGAGTAAACAGTCTTCAAGTTGTTTCAAGTTTGTTTTATTCCTGCCACCTTTCTGCAGTTCTTGTGTGTTTCTGAGGTTTGTTACTTTTAAAGGGAAATAGTGTGTATATATATATGGGTGAGGGTCTGTGTTTTCTCCCCTATCAGATTTTTTCCCCTCATTAAACGCACCAATGAAAATCTTCCTAGCAAATGTGCAAACAAAAGTTACTTAGGAGAACAGGAAACAAACTTTAAGGTTTGCACTTTGTTTGAAGGGGATAAAATGGTAAAGTCATCTTTACAGTTTATTCCTGCCATCATTCTTCATTCCTTATGGTTTTCTGAGGCTTTTCTGTTGACCTTGCATTTTCCTTGAGATAATTTTGGGGTTGTTTTTGTAAAGTGAATTGACTTTTTATATTTGGTGTTATAATAAACAATGTCAAATTTTACCTCAGTCTTCAGTGTTACTGAGCAGGGAGCTGGGTTCAGATGTTTCTGCAGGACAGGTTCTGGTCCTGGTAGTGGTACACCTGTTCTCTGCCTTCCCAGGAACCGCCCTCTGACCCAGTCGGTCTCCTTTACTGGGTGTTTTCTGCTGCACTGGCAGCAAAGCATCACTGATGAAATTATCCTGTTAATGATCTCATTAGATAAAATTACACATTGCTTGTCAATAAACTGCCTTCTTCTAATTATTGTATGAGGAATTTGTATATTTGACACTTGTCTTTATCAATACTTTGCTTTGGAGTTTAACAGTTTTACATGAAACGTCCTGCATTATTGATTCTGTTGTATTAAATAAAATGATTTTTTTACTTCAAGGAAAGTATTTGTTAAAATATTGCACTTCCTGTGTTACATCACATAAATTGTATTCCAAAACCTAAAAATCTTTTCATTTAAAAAAAAATATTATTAATAATATTTTTTTAATGAAGAGTTCTGTGTATATTGCCACTAAAATACTTCCTCCTCAGCTGTTATGGATGTCATGCATAAGTCTTTAATCTCCTTTCTATTTTCTTTCTGACAAACATGAATACCTCCTTCTTAAATCTCAATAGGGTATTGATATTGAAATCCAGAGCCCTTTATTGGTTATTGACTTACTGTGGTACCATGACTTGGTTAATATTGTGTAAAAAGCCAGTTTCTGCATAGTTGAGTTTCTGAGGAACCATTGGACATGGAAGCCGACTGCAGAAATAGCATGGAAAATCGTTACTTGTTTGCATCACATGAATGCCAGGAGTAATGGTAATCTGTTGGGGTCATGAACAAGGCCCTTAGCCTGCAATTGCTTCATCCTGGGTATGACCTTAATCAACATCCAGCCTTGCAAGCAGGGCCTCCAACTTCCTGGGAAAATTTGGGGGCTGATAGCAGGATTAGCACTTCAGCCACCGGAAAAAAACTTGGCCTTCAGCCATGGAGCCCTGCTTTCTTTGGTATGGGTGGACACCACCATTCCAGATTGCTCCAGGTCAGCCTGAAGTCCTTTAGATGTCTCCTGTGGTGTTTTTTCCACAATTCCCACCAACCTTCGCAGACTTCTATCATTGGTTTCTTCTTAGCACCACGTCCTAAAAGCGTCTTAACAGTTTTATGACTCTGAAACTTCTGAATAATGTTATGAACTGTTGAAACAGGGATTTCAAGTATTTTGGCGATTGCCTTGAAACCTTTGGAATTGTTATGCTTTTTAAAAGTATTTCTATTGCTGTCAGGCAGCGTTTTTGTCTTCGCCATTGTGGAAGAGACACTGGAAGCAATCAGCCCCTTTTTATGCAGTAAAACCATAATTCATTGCTTAATTCAGGTCATGTGAACACTAAAGATGAAGCACAGCTGAGTCTTATTTGTTTCCTAGTTTGTTTGAGGAAATAATTTTAAATCACAAAAAGTGCCCATAATTGTGTCCAGCATACATTTTATGTCTATTTTTTATTTCACTATAAGAAACTTTTTCGTTGTTGTTGTTCTGCAACCTTGGACGTTTTATTAAATATTCTGATTATATAAAATTGATTCATTTGCATTTCTTTCTGAAAATATTCTACATTCTGTACTAACAATTGAGGGGTGCCAATAATTCTGACCACTACTGCATGTTACAGTTCTGGAAAGATTTATGTCAGGTCATGTTGGGGAGCATGCGCTGATGCAGCGCGTTTCTGCACCCACCACACAGCGAAACTCCTGGCGACCCCCCAGGCAGATACACGGTCCAGTCCCACCCTCCGGAAATAGCCATCCATCTGCCGCAGCCAGGTGTCACGTGGGCGTCCCCTTGGCCTGGTCCAGCTGCTCAGGTCCTCAGCAATGAGGATCCTACGAGCTGGATCAACCTCAGGGAAACGCGCCACATGGCCGTAGTGCCGTACTGTAACTGACGCTCCCTCACCATGCAGGTACTGTGCCTCATTCAGGACTCCTCTAGCAACTGCTCATTCCACACAAAGTCAAACCAGCAGTGCCCAAGGATTCTCCTAAGAGACACAGTACAGAAGGAATCCAGTCTTCATCTCAGGTCACTGGATAGCATCCAAGTCTCACAGTCATACAGCAAGACAGGGAGCACCAGACTTATAGCAAGGTGTAAATTTATGTGAATGTAAGATATATGTAGATTGAAACAGATAATGCATTTTAAAAATGTGACATTAATGTATTTGCATTTTTTAAATTTAGTGTAGCCTTTTACCCCAAGTGACATACAAATGCGAAAGCAGGATCAGCCAGAACCAGGAACAGTAAAGTTTAAAGGCCTCATTCAAATACCCAACACACTACTCTGCTGGCCATGGGACCTGAACCAACACATTTCCGGCCACAGGCTCTGCATCCTATCCCTCTGACCCACACACAGTGGTGGGAAAAGTACTCAATTTTCATACTTAAGTAAATGTGAATGGGCGACCCCCCACAGTCCAAAAGCATCGTGAGGTGCATGTGTGACTGAATGGTGTGTGAGTGTGCCCTGAAGTGGCTTGGCACCCCATCCTGAGTTCTTCCCTGCCTTGTGCCCCTAGCCTCCGGGATAGGCTCCAAACTCCCCCCCCCCATGACCATGAATAGGATAAGCAGTTGCAAAAAGGTATGGTATGGTATGGTAAGGTAAGGTAAGGTACGGTACGGTAAGGTACGGTATGGTATGGTACAGTAAGGTACGGTAAGGTACGGTACGGTACGGTAAGGTAAGGTGTGGTACGGTACGGTAAGGTATGGTATGGTACGGTACGGTAAGGTAAGGTGTGGTAAGGTACGGTACGGTACGGTATGGTATGGTACGGTAAGGTAAGGTAAGGTAAGGTACGGTACGGTATGGTATAGTATGGTACGGTAAGGTACGGTACGGTATGGTATGGCACGGTAAGGTACAGTATGGTATGGTATGGTATGGTACAGTATGGTATGGCACTTCACAGCCCCTCGGCTGGTGGGGACAGAATGTGCACACACTTACAGCTGCCTATAGAAATGTTATGTCTAGATACATTAGGTTAGTGGGCGAGCACCAATCCTCTGTACTTTTTGACTAGGGATAGATAGAATAGATCAGATCTGTTCCGGTGTTAGTCTGGATTTGTTCCTTTCTTGTTTTTAGTGCCACCCTAATTGCCCTCCTTCCTGGTTTCTGCATGTACTGTACTGTCCTGCACCAACCAACCTAAATAAATGGTGACATTTTCCCCTTGCAGTTCCTGTGTGGTTCCTTTGGCTACTTGATACCCAACCCTGCCCCCCAGACCAGGGGCTCCTAACAGTTGATACCCCAGCTATTGCAGGACACTGTCACATGTACTGATATTTGTATGTTTGACATATAATACAAAATATCTGACTCCTTGAACTCTGTTCTAGAGAATGGAGCCCTTGGGATGTTTCCTGGCAAAATGAACCGTTGCTTTGCAGTGGGCATCCATCACACAAACCTCAGTCTCAGCTGCCAAGAGGTCATTTGTAATCTTTGTGGCCCTTTTATGGCCGCACTTCTATGCTTCTGCATTTCATGTGGGCTGGCAATTGTAGTGGCCACACATTTACTAAATCACCCCTGTCATTAGCCCGCAGACACACAGGACACCAACAATAATGAAATTTACGTCACTCCCCCGTATGCCAGTCGTGACGACACAGAGGAATGTGAAGTATGAAACGGGCTTCAGTCTGTCTGTCTCCACTGACCATGTGAGGAGAGAGCTGGGGAAAGATGGGGGGGGGGTCCAATGAAATCAGCCTGAGGATGTGGGAGGCATGAGCCAACCAGCTCTGCAGGGTCCTTCAGTACCTGCTCTACCCTCCCTGCGTCTGCAGGAGCTGCAGCTCTGGCAGGCATCCTGTACGGTCGCCGACACTCCAGCTCCCCTACGGACATCAGACTAGTTGCTCTCACTTCACATATGAAGACATTTGAGAGGCTGGTTTTGAAACAGCCTCAGATCCTGGTAACAGACCCCCTGGATCCCCTGCAGTTTGCCAACCAGGCAGGCCTGGTCCAGGTGGGGTCTAAGACAGCATCCCCCCCCCCCCGCACAGTAGAAATTCAGGCCTGATTTTAATTCCTTTATTTTTTTTTTCATTTTAAAATACTAGTATATAATTAAGGGCAGCATATTTTGCTAAAACCAAAGTTACAATCTAGCCTACATTTTCAGATCCTCACAGATACACTTGATTGGTTGTCTGGGTGAGCACAAGCTAACTAACCTAGCGTAGGCTTGTTGGGATATTTTATGTGTGCATCTGGATATGCAGGTGACTGATTATTTGTGTGAGTGTGTTTCTATATGTGCATGTGATGTGGTTTATGTGTGTGTGTGTCAGAGAGCAGGTAAGAGAAGGAAATTAGTCCACATCAGACTCGCAGCCTTGGCAGCTATAAATGCAGCATTAGTGCAACAGCACGTTGGCATGGTTGCAAAAACATGTTGCAACTGTCCCTACACTGACAGCCACCAGAAAACCTGATATGTTAGCTTGACACAATAGCTTTGACACATGCTAGCTATGCATGTTAGAAGCTAAGGAAACACTGAATAAATATGACTTTACAATGCGTCACACAAATAATTTAGACAGCATGACAAAAACTTTAATCATAATAAAATAATTTTTTTTGCCCAGAAGAAAGGTTTTTTTGCAGACATAATGGTGATTTGTGGCTGCCTTCTTCCAGGAAGGAGGAGGGGCTAACTGAGCATGTGGAGTATAAATATCATCACTGTAGCTCATTCCTGATTTTAGAAGCCATGTTGCAACTGCCCCATGTTGCAACCGGTCCTGCTCTATAATAAGCATCGTTTTAACCACAAGCGTCAAAATGCTTAGATATATTGTCAGTATGTCAGTGTAAATATGCTCCTGAGCTCCACAATTCAGAAGGACAGTCGGATCCCACTTTCTCAGTGTCACTGACTGATCATTTTTCTTTAGCAAACGGTTG